TAAAATTTACAAAGAATAGATTAATAGTGTTAAAAACTTTTATTGTTGTAAACAGAGAATGCAGCATTAATTTTATCTCAGGGAATTGAATTTTTGCCTTGAAAATTTTTAATAACTTCATTCTTAACATAGTTGTAGCCATGTCCAAATTCTTTAAGTTTAGTTCTCACAGTCATTCTACAACATACTTTAATCTTCTAACTTTATTCTTGTCTGTTTTCATTTTAGAACAGTCTTTACCTTACCATTCAAAATCCTTTTGTATCCAAAGGCAGTGCTTCTCTTTAGTCTTCTTTTACCAAAAATACATTTCACACCTATAACCTTTATATCTCTTTTTTTCACTTGATTTTCTTTTTAAGATTTACTTATTTATTATGTATACAGTGTTCTGTTTGCATGTGTCGCGCAGGCCAGAAGAGGGCGCCAGATCTCATTACAGATGGTTTTGAGCCACTATGTGGATGCTGGGAATTTAACTCAGGACCTCTGGAAGAACAGCCAGTGTTCTTAACCTCTGAGCCATCTCTCCAGTTCCCACTTGATGATTCTTTAATGTCTTATTATAACTACTGCTATAATTACAAATTTAGAAAACACTTTCTTTTCAATAATTATATTTCAAATTAAAACTAGAAGCTTTATCCAAAACACATCTTAACTATCTAACAGTTATAGATACAGGTAAAAGATATTAATAGTCTTTGGGGTGGGGGTGTTTGCTTGCTTGCTTTGAAACTATCCCTGGCTGGCCTGAAACTGACTATATAGACGAGGCAGTCTCAATCTCAGTAATCTCTCTCTCCCTCCTGAGCACTGTGATTAAGGGTGTGCATCACCACGCCCAGCATGTGTGTATGAATATATACCACATGTATGTGGGTGTCCACAGAGGCCAGACATGTCAGATCCCCTGGAACTGGAGTAACAGGTAGTTATGAGCCACCTAAAATGAGTATTTGGAACCAAACTTGAGTCCTTTGGAAGAGCAGTAAGTGCTCTTAACCACTGAACAAGTTCTCCAGCCCTCAAATTCACTTTTTGAGGTTTCAGTTATTTACAGGTCAACAAGACAAGTGAACACAATATAAAATTTCTTAAATTTATATTTCTAATGACAATGTCTGAACAATAGGTTAAGAACCACACACCCATGTGCTAGAGCAGCTGCTCCTGATTCTTTTTTTTTTTTTCTTTCCTCTTTTTAAATTTGTTTGTTTGTTTTGAGACAGTGTCTCCCTGTCACCTTAGCTCTTTTGGAACATCCTGTATAGACCAAGTTGACATCAAACTCACAAAGATCTGCCAGTGTCTGTCTCCCAAGTGATGGTATTAAGAGCATGTACCACCATGCCTAGCTCCAAACTAAGATTATGCAGGGTTATGTCAACTACTACCAAGCCTACAAAACTTCTGCTCCAGGATTGGAAGGGAATTAACCAAGGAGAGAAGAGTGTTCATAGAGGGTAGTTGTCTCTGAGGGTCTGGGAAAGGCAGGGCCTAAGTGCATACTAGGTCCATTTAGAAGAGCAGTAAGTGCTCTTAACCAGTGCTCTTCTGGTCCCTTGGCTCCTGTTCCCAGGGATCTTTCCCCAAGATCTCACAGGTTTCCCAGAACCCCAATCATGGCTTCACTCCTTCTTTTGGTTTGGCTAACCACAGCTCCACTTTGTGCCCAACTCAGGCTCCCACTGTTGCCTCTAGGGACATGCCACCCATAACCCTGGCCTCTATAACTTTACCCAATCTCCTAAGAATCTGCTCCCACTCTTCTACCTCACCCTGTATCCATGCCCTGCCCTCCATGACTTCATCCCCTCTCCTATAGCCCCTGTCCCTGTAACCCCACCCTCTGTCTCATGACTCCAGCCTCCAGCCCCCACCACCTTGCCCAATCTCCCACACCCCTGTCTGCCCTCCAAAAAACAGGAAGTGTTGGGAGTCACAGCTCTGGGAGTAAGTGCAGGAAGCTGGGCTTATCTTGCTCTGCAGCCCTGACCCCTGGCCTTGTGCCGGGTAGGGGGCGCCAGGGGCAGTCCAAGGACAGAGCCTGCTCACCTGGTGAGCCCTGGCTGCCTCTCTCTTGAGCCACAAACTGTCACAACTGGACTGGTATGCAACAAGGCCTAGCTAGTGCTTCCCAGGGGACATCAGCCTGCTGTCTCCTCCACAGACAGCAGCAGAAATGTCAGCACAGCAAGGGACCCATGAGCTAGTACCCCAGGATGTCTCGCTTCCCCCACAACAGGCACTGCATTGCTGCCAAGGGCTTGACCTTCTCATTTCCACTCAAACAAGGACTCACTTCCCATAGCAGGTGTTACCTCTTTGCTGGTTATTCCAGATTCTAGTGGAGCAGGGTATGCTGTGTGTGCGCGTGTGTGTGTGCTTTCTGTTTACAAAGCTAAATCTTCCTGAGGAGGGGGCAGGATGGGGACTGTCCCTTTCCCCCCACCCCTAGGTCCTGAAGGCCTCTGGCAGGGACAATAGGCCTCAACACCTGCCTCACTCTTCTCCCCACCCCCACCCGCTTCCCAGGAATATGTGCTTCCTGGAGTAGAGGGCCTTGTTTATTTCCAGTTAGCCACAGCTGAAGCAAGCAGCCTTCTTGCACACCTGCAGGTCTTGCAGGGGCCTAGTGCCCACAAGCCCACAAGGCCAGGTACTCTGCAGGTCTGGGAGCAGATACTTCCTTCTCCTCCACACCTGTGTCCATAGTGCTGCCCAAGCCTTCTTAGGAACCCAGTTGTTTGTTTTTATTTAAGTTTTAGTTTAGCTTAACTGAACCTCCTTTTACATCTACTACAGGATTTCAGTGCTGGTGTGATATCCACCAATGGATTGGCCTAAGAAAGATGGACTTGAACCAAGCCTGGGCCTTCTCATTGTCTCCCATTCAAGGTTTGTGTGTGATACAGAGCTGCTAACTAGAGAAAATATGGAGTGCTTCATGAATCTGTGTGCCATCCTTGCACAGTGGTCATGCTAATCTTCTCTGTATCATTCCAATTTTAGCATGTGCTGAAGTGAGCCCAACTTCAGGAATGTAGCTGAGTTCAGAGCTCTGCATGCTTAGCTGTGGCTCTGTGCTCACAGGGTACAAAAAAGACATGCCTATTCCTATTGCTCCCTTTATTCAGCTCTCCCACACTCCTAGGCTAGTGTGGTAGGTGGCAGGGTAGGGAAGTGCTGTCCTAACACAGAAGAGGCTACAGCCCTCACTCTCTGCTGCATCATGGGAGGTGGAGCAGGGTTAACACATAAGTAGCAAAGTCAAGATTAACTTTGGGATTTGCAAACTAAAGGACTAGCTTGTCATCCATAGCTGTTGCCCAAGTTCCAGATGTTCTTTCAAAGGCTCCTAGTCGTGGGAGGCCGTGGTACCCAGTCAGTCTCCTTCAAAGCCTGCCAGTCTGTCTTCCAGGATTACATATGGAGGCCTGGTTCCTGGGCTGCAGGAAATTGCACAGGCCTGGCCAGTGCCTTGGGGCGGGGGGTGGGGGTGGGGTGGGGTGTTTCCCATCTGTGATCCTCACAGTCCTTTCTTCTGTGCCAGAGCCCCACCTCCCTGCAAAGTCAAGCCCTGAAAAGGCTTGGGTGGGATAGGACAATACCAGCAGTTTCCAGCTCCATGTCTCAGCCTCAGCATCTCCAAGGTCTGTTTTAGCTGCTCAGCAGCCAGCAACTGTGGGACAGTATCTGTGCTGAGTATGTTAGGTGTGCATGAGGATATGCCCTGTCCTCAACTACAAAGAAGCCCTGGGGACCTCCATTTAGGTCCCTGGGCTAAGTGTAAAGGACCTAGAATCCTTCCACTCTGATCCTGAGGGCTCTGTACCTGTCCTTGTCCTGCAAGAGGACAGTCATTCTAGTGGGTTGATAACCACAGGCTGAGTTCCCAGGGCTCCTGCTGAGAGCCATGGGTGCAGAATTCAGGTGATCTTTAAAAGTATAATCTGATACAGGGCTTAGGCATCAACGTATATTCCCTGAAACTCTTGAGGCTTCTACTCCACCTCCAGTCCCAGGAGGCTGCGGTTTGTTTGATCTTTCCTCAGTTGAAGAGAAGAAATTGAGAATCAGGACACCCTGTTGCCTACCTCCCCAGCCTGATTGCTCTAAACAGTAGGAGAGGACAGCAAAATGGGCAGTATTTGTGGGATGCTCACTGGGTCTCAAGTGATTTCCCAGTAGGATCTAAAGTTGGGACAAGTATAAGTACAGATTGCTTTGCAAAAATGGGTCCATGGGTATCTCCAAGGTGGGCTGTCCATACTGTCCTCTTTCAGCTCAGTGCCCACTGTTACTTTCTCCAGATCTGACTTGATCACTCTTTAGTCAAGTACTGCTGCCCTATGGCTTATATTTCAACAAAACTGGACCTTTTTCTCTGCACTGGGACATTGGCTATACCCTAGCATGCCCAATAGAGCTCACCAATATAAGTCATCAGTCCAGGTCCATAGCCATCCACCTCTCTCCTCTATCGGTATTTCCTGGAACAAGATGACTACCTATCCAGGCCCTAGGCCCAGGATCTTGCAATGATCCAGGCTTCCCCTCATCCTCTCACACTAGCTGTCACACATACATACATACAGAGAGAGGGAGAGAGAAAGGGAGAGAGAGAGGGGGGGAAAGAGGGAGAGAGAGAGAGAGAGAGAGAGAGAGAGAGAGAGAGAGAGAGAGAGAGA